GCGTGGTGACACACGCCTGTAATCCCAGCACTTGGGAGGCTAAGGCAGGAGGATCCTTGCGATTTTGAGACCAGCCTGGGCTACGAAGTAAGCTCAAGGCCGGGCTGAATTGCATAGCGAGACCCTGCTACAAAAAAGATTTAAAAAATAAATAAATAAAAAGATGGGTGCATATCTATAATCCTAGTATTCTGGGAGGCTGAGGCAGGATGACTGCCAAGTTGGAGCCCAACTTGGCCAATTTAGCAAGACCCTGCCTCAAAAACTGAAAAAAAAAATTTTTAAAGGCTTAAGATGAGCTCAGTGCAAAGGCCCTCCTGGGTTCAATCCTCAAGACTGGGGGGGGAGGGGGGTGTTAAAAAACAATAATGAAAAAAGCAAAGATGGGGGCTGGGGATTTAGCTCAGTGGCACAGCGCCTGCCTGGCAAGCGCAAGGTCGTGAGTTCGATTCCCAGTACCGAAGGAAAAAAAAAGCCAAGATGGAAAATACTAATACACAGGTGAAAGGAGCCCAGCAGGATCTAGGGCAGCTGTGACCTGGCAATGGCCCACAGAATTAGTGTACAAAAACAAATGAACAAAGGAAAACCCCCAGTCATGCTGATCTGGCAGGTTCCCCTCTGAACATGCACTGCCCTGGGGACACGGAAGGAGAGTTTCTAAAGGTGACTTCTATGGGCGTGGTGCATCACACCAGCAACCCCAGTACTCTGGGAGGCTGAGACAGGAGGATCACAAGTTCCAGGACAGTCTGGGCTACATCACAAGTTCAAGGCTGGCCTGGCCTACAAAGTGTGGCCGTCTAAAAAATAAATAAATAAATAAATAAAAATAAGGCAAGAAAGAAAAAAGAAATGAAAAATTCCTACTGTATCAGGAAATTTCCCATCAACGTCCCACCTCCTACTATCCCCGCCCACTATCCCCTGTGCCCCGCTCTCTGGCAGCAAGCACAGGACTCACTCCCGGATGCCTTACATGCTGGTGACCTGACCTCTCTGTGCCGCGCTTTCCAGTGAAGACGAAGGCGGAACGCACCCATGCATGCGCTGCGCCTCGCCTGTCTCCTCCGCGTGGGGACTCGTCCCTCTCCAGTAGAGAGCTGGGGAGGTGCTTACCCTACCTCGGTGGCTGAGGACCTGTGGCTGCCGCGAACATCCCAGAGCGCCCATGGGTGCCGCTGTGAGGCAGCTGTGGGGACCCAGCAGGAGGAAGCCAGACGCCAGCCGATCAGCCTCCCACCCGCAGGAGGCCTAAGAGCAGGGCCGACCACCTCCGCCCACGCCCAGCACCCTGCGGCTCAGGCCCCGCCCCCAGCAGCCTGGCCTCCGTCGGGGTTCTCCACCCTCCACCCCAGGCCAGGCCGACCCAGCCAGCCCCTCCCATCACCTAACCAAGCCCCAGACAGACTCAGCCCCACCCAAAAGGTGCTCAGATTAAGTAGAGGGAATCCCAGCCCAGCCAGTGATATGCAAATTCGTGCACCCAGCCCGGGCGCGGGGCTGAAGCTATTGCTGAAAAAGTCCCTGCCCCGCCGTTGCTGCCCGCCACTGCCCCCAGCAATCGCTGCCGAAGAAGAAGGTGCAGGGACGGGGGTCTGGCAGCAACCGCCTGCAGCAGCCAGGAGACACCTGAGCTGGGACTGCCGGGGGAGGAGCCAGCCTCAGGGACACCAGACACGTGCAGCCTCATACCTAGAAATCCGCTCCCCAGGCCAGCACCATTCGGACACGAAAGTAAGGTGGCTTAAAAAGGAGGGAAACCGGACCAGAGAGAAATGGAGGGCAGAGCCGGAAAGCCGAGGAACGCGGTGTGCAGCGTCGCAGGGTAACGCATGGGAAAAACTGAAACCTAAGCTCGAAGGGAACAATTAAGAAACCATCTCAGATCCTGGTCCCTCCAAGGCTGGGGCAAGAGCATAGCAAGGGTTGAAACATGACTGATGCAATTCTTCTGTTTTGCTTTGTTTTGTTTTGAGACAATGTTTCACTAAATTGCCCAGACTGGTCTCAAACTAGAGATCCTCCTGCCTCAGCTTCCTAAGGAACTGAGATTACAAGTGTGCCCCATGGCAGGCCATAGACTGCTGGTTTCACCCATAGAAGAATTTAGAGCCCCACTAGTACCCCCCCCCCCAGTGAGCCCTGTGCTTACAAGGAAAGGCAAGGCCACTGCAGCATGAATTCTCAAGGTTGGGGTGAGGACCAGAAGGAAGACAGGCCTCTAAGTCCAGGTCCTCCACTTGTTCTCAGGAAAAGGATGAAACCTAGCCATGCAGACACTGGAGGATTTTTGCTCCTGAGATTTACAAGGGCAAAAGAAAATCTCTTTTTGCAGAGACATACTCAGGAAGGTCTTCAGTGGCCACTAAGCCCCATCCCTGCATTTGAGCCACTGCTGCTCCTGGGGCTGCTCTCGGAAACACAGTGAGACTCGAGGGTCCTGGGCAGGGCCAGGGAAGTCTCCAACCAACCCAGACAAACGAGAAATAGATGTGGAGGAAACGGAGACAAGACCAGAGGAGAGAAAAGTCGGTGTTGGGTGGGGGGGAATACAGTTAATATCACTGGTGGCGGCCAGGCGTGGCAGGACACACCTGTAATCCCAGCCCTTGGAGACTGAGGTAGAAGGATCGTTAAGTTTGAACCTGGTCTGAGCAATTTAGCAAGACCCCGTCTCAAAATAAAAAGGGCTGGTAACATAGCTCAGGGTCTTGAGTTCCAGAAGGTCTTGGGTTCCATCCCCAGGACCACAAGACAAAAATCGTCTAAGTAATGAAAATTATTGTACCCGTGAAACAACACGATGCTATTTACCAAGAAGCAGGGGCTGGGCGCTCCGCTCTGTGGTACAGTGTGTGATTCATGCGCACAAGGTGCTTGGTTCAATTCCCAGCACCACCAAACAGACACACCCAGACTATAAGAGCTCGTGAGGATTATAAATGTTAACCACATTAAAAAATTATATTGAAATATTAGCAGATCCTGTTAAGGACATGTAGAAAACAGAACAGAAAGGGTAGGAAACGAAATGACAAACAGAAACGAAAGGGTAGGAAAATCTGATGATTGGCCCAGGAGATCCATCCAGGCTAACTTGTAGTATTAGAAAATAGCAAAAAGAGTGGGAAGGAAATAATAAAATGCTAATAAAAATAGTAACTCAGCTGGGCATGGTGACGGACGCCTGTAATCCCAGCGTTAGGGAGGCTGCACACGAAGACGGCTGTGAGACCAGCCTGGACTATATAGTGAAACCCTGTCGCAATAAAATAAATAAAAAGAACAGTGATCCACTGGAAAACAGTACGAAGAGCTCCACGGCCAGGCCACGTCCCAGGGACGGATGCACTGATGCAACTCATTTCATTTTTACACAAACATAAAGGGCAGACACCAGGCCCAGTTTGTTTTGTTTTTTTGGTCTTTTTGAGACAGGATCTCGCTCTGCAGTTCAGGCTGACCTTGAGCTCATTTTGTAGCCCAGGCTGGTCTCGAACTCCCAGTGATCCTCCTGCCTCAGCCTCCAGGGTGCTGGGACTACAGGCATGCACCACCACGCCCTACTGGTTTTTTCTTTGTTTTTGTGGTGCTGGGGGTCAAAGTCAGAGTCCTGACACATGCTACACAAGCACTCTACCACTGAGCTAGGTCCTCAGCCCCTACTACCCACTTAAAAAAAAAAAAACCTGAGGCATCCTTAGGTAAAAAGTCCAAGCTCCACAGCCAGGAGGGGATGAAATGGGTGAGTGACTCAGTCTGTGCTCTTAGCTAGTATGTGATTCTAAAAAATGTTGAGCATTTGGAAAAGAGAAAAAAATCACTCACATACAAAGATCAAGAATTAAAATGGGCCAGTTGTGGTGGCACTCCAGCCACTAAGAGGCTGAGGCCAGAGGATCATAAATTCTAGGCCTGTCTGGGCCACACAGTGAGTTCAAGGCCAGCCTAAGTTACCTGAGACCCTGTCTCCAAAAAAAAAAATAAAAGTACAGGAATCAAAATGGTAAAATGGCCCTGGGTTCAATTTCCAGCACCACAGGGACAAAAGAAAAAGGAAAGAATAAAAATGGTACTATATTCCCCAAAAGGAACATGGGAATATAAAAGGTAATGTTGGGGCTGGGGATTTAGCTCAGCAGCACAGCGCCTAGCCTGGCAAGCACAAGGTCGTGAGTTCGAATCCTGGTACCGGAAAAAAAAAAAAGAAAAGGTAATGTTGGCTGTTCCTTCAAAATTGGGGGTGGGGACAGTTATTTTTCAAATATCCCTCAAATGTGAAGGTAGAATAAGGGCAATTTTCAGGCATACTAAGGCCCAAAAGATTTCTTTCCATGTACATTTTCGCAGAAAGCTACTGTAGAATGTGCTCCACAGAAAGAAGTACAACAGGAAACAGGAAGGTGTGGGAATCAGGATACTGCAGGTCCAACACAGCAGAGGCAGGGAGAGGTGGAAGGACGATGACTCTACAACAGACCCAAGCATCAGGCAAGCTGAACAGGAGAGGGATGATGGAAAATTCCAGGAAGGGACTCCCCAAGGAAAGACAGGGACAGTTAGCATGGTGGTGCAGGCCTGTCATCCCAGCAGTTTGGGAGGCTGAGCCAGAAGGATTGCAGGTTCAAACCCAGTCTGGACAAGGCAGTAACTTAGCAAGGTGTCTCAAAACAAAGCAAAAAAGCCCTGTGTGGTGGTGCACACCTGCGATCCCAGCACTCAGGAGGCTGAGGCAGGAGGATCGCAGTGACTTTGAGGCCAGCCTGAGTGACATAGTACATTCAAGGTCAGCCTGGACTACATAGTGACACCCTGTCTCAAAAAACAAAAGGGGCAGTCAGCATGAGGGCTCTGGGTTCAACTCCAATCACCATTTAAAGGGAGGGAGAGAAGGAGGGAGGAAGACAGTGTATCCAATACACAGGCAAAGGTAAAATGTATCACCAGACAGGAAGCCAGAGGGTCTAAGAAATCCCAACTCAAAAAAAAAGAGGCTATTATAACTCCAGAAAAATTTTATTTAAAAGTAATTGTATTACAACACTTGGCAGCTCAAATGTGAACAATATTTACAAAACCGTAATAAAAAGCAAACCGGGGGGGCTGGGGATTTAGCTCAGCAGCACAGCACCTGCCTGGCAAGCGCGAGATCGTGAGTTCGGTTCCCGGTACCGGAGGAAAAAAAAAAGAAAACCAATAAATAAATAAATAAATAAATAAAAAGCAAACTGATTTATGCAAAACTGTATTTCACATATACTGGGAAGATGAGGTCATATAAATGGGGGGGCAACAAAAATCATAGTAATCAACACTAAGTGCTTGTCATATGCCAGATATGGTTTTTTGTTTTTTTGTTTTGAGATAGGGTTTCGCTATGTAGCCTGGGCTAGCCCTAAACTCACAATGTAGCCCAGCCTGGGCCTCAAACTCACAGCGATCCTCCTGCCTCAACCTCCCAAATGCCGGGATTATAGGCATGCAGAACCATGCCATTCTCAATGCTTGTCCTGCACTGTTTAACCCTCAGAACAATCTCACAGAGCACACTATTATTCTCCATTTTATAAAAGAAAATTGAAGTACGGGGAAGCAAAGAAACTTGTCTGATTCTAATAAATAACAGGATTCAGAGTCAAGCAATCTATGCAAAATCCTCACCTTTTACCGAATTCAATACAAAATCTTAAAACCTGAACATAACTAGCAGTAGAAGTTAGCGCTTAGAAAATACAGACAAGGGCCGGGGATATAGCTCAGTGGCACAAGCATCTGCCTAGCAAGAGCAAGGTCCTGAATTCAATTCCCAGTACCAAAAAGAAAAAGAAAATGCAGACAAAAAGCCCCAAGAGTTAAACGTAGAAATGAGGGGCTGGGGATTTTGCTCAGTGGCACAGTGCCTGCCTGCCTGCCTGGCAGGAGCGAGGAGGTCGTGAGTTCCATTCCTGGGGGGCGGGGCAAGCAAACAAACAAAAAAAAGTAGAAATGAGGAATAGGGAAAGATGCTACTTTGTAACCTGTCCAACACAATTTGGCTTTTCAAATGATACAGAACTTTTATTTTGGGGCTGGGGATTTAGCTCAGCAGCAGAGCACCTGCCTGGCAAGCACAAGGTCCTGAGTTTGATTCCTGGTAAGGGGGGCAGGACGTGGGGGGGGGGCGGGACGGACTGACGGACGGACTTTTATTTTACAGTGCATATATACAGGTGTGGTGGCTCACTCCTGTAATCGCAGCACTCGGGAGGCTGAGGTACGAGGACTGCTGCAAGTCTGAGGCCAGCCCGGGCTACATAGCGAGTTCAAGGCCAGCCTAAGCTACATGGCAAGACCCTGTCTCAAAAAATTAATTTCTAAAATGAATATTAAGAGTCTGGCACTGCGGCACAAGCTTGTATTTCCAGTAACAGAAGGCAGAAGCAGGAGGATTGTGAATTCAGGCTAGCTTGGGCTACATGGCAAGTTCAAACCCAGCCTGAGCTAAAGACCCGTCTTGTAGCCCCCCACACCTGGTGGGGTACAGGGGCACACCTGTAAACGCAGCACTTGGGAGGCTGAGGCAAGAAGGTTGCCACAAGTTGGAGGCCAGCCTGGACTACAAGTGAATTCAAGGCCTGAACTGTACACTCCCAGTGAATATTTTACTGCATGTAAAATATTCCTCAGTAAAATTTAAAAACTCAAGACAGTGTTTTTAAATGCATACATGAGATATTAATGCATGCCCACCGGCATGCACGGGACATAAAAAAAACTGACACTACCTGCTGTTGACAATAACACGGACCTTCAAACTCAGAGCCAGCTGTGTGGTAATGGGACACAGCCGCTGGAGAAGCCACAGCTGCTGGGGCTGCCTCCATTTCGCCCCTCTCTCCTCACAAACCCACTCCTACCTAGGTATAGGCCCAAAGAAATGTGTTCACCTGTGCCCACAAGGCATGTTCACTGTGGCATCTCTCTCCACAAACACCCATAAACCACCTCGAGTCCATCAGCAGGAGAGGAGGAGTGTACCCTGTGTTCTGTGCACACACAGTGGAATATTACACAGTGACCAAAAAAACACCACAGGCTGCTGCACACCAGCAAACCAATGCATTTCACAAGCAGAATGTCCAGTGAACCAGCCGCGATGGCGCACACCCAGAATCCCAGCACTTGGGTGGCTGAGGCAGGAGCAGCACTGTTCAAGTTCCAGGCCAGCCTGGACTACATAGTGAGTTCAAGATCAGCCTGAACCCTATCTCAAAAAAAAAAAAAAAAAAAGGGGCAAAAAAAAATTATCTTGAGGTGAGGACAGGAAGTGACCAGGGAGCTGAGGGGAGGGAGCCTCAGAGGGCTAGAAAGGAGCTGGGCTTAACTAAACTTCCTGCAGTTACAGGGCTGGTATGTTCATTTTGTAAAAGCTCCATGAATCAAACACCCAAAAGTGAAGCATTTCCATCCTAGCTATTACACAGAAAAGACAAAATGCGTCAAGGTCTTGCTAAATTGCCCTGACTGGACGCCAACTTGCAATCCTCCTGCCTCAGGCCCCCAGAGCACTGGGACCACAGGTATGCACCACCACGCCTGGCTCAGGTTGGGATCCTGGAGGCTGAGGATCGTGCTCCACCCAGAGGAGTGAGTAGAAAATTCCAGAGGCCCTGGAGAGGTCTGGAGTAGCCTGAGGGGTCTGTGAGTCAGCTACTAATGAGCACTGTAATTACAGTGATCACTTTTGCTCCAACTTTTGCGGAGGGACCCACCTGGTTAGGCACCCAGCCTGAGCTTGCTGGCTCTAACCTCACAACCAAACAAATCCAGTACTAGGAATGGACCCACATTAGAGATGAGCAAACTGAGGTTTAGAAAGTCAACATATGTCCAGTAAGTGGGTAAGCAAGGTCTGGACCTCAGCCCTAGACAGAGCATGGTTTTATCTAGGGGGCTGCAGGTTAAAACTATCAGCTCAGAAATGTGGACAACTGTAAGGGGTGTGAGCTGGGTTGGGGTGTTTTTTATCTTTTTGGTACCTTTTTTTCTGGGCCACAGATCATCCATCTCTTGCATTAGCTCACGAGGTCTCTTAAGAGACAGTGACAGATACAGTACATTTGTGGCCCAGGACAAGTGAGAAGGTTTTGTGGCTGGCACTTGACAGCCTCAACTTTTTCCACAATGAGATAGCAGGCCTTTTGGGGGTGGCCAGTGTCGTAGGGGCCCTGCCCCTGGGACTGAAGATGTAGTTCAGTGAGAATGCTTGCTTAGCATGGGTAAAGCCCTAGGTTCCATCCTCAGTACCAAAAGAAAAATAAATGGAAGATCTGGGGGCAGTGATCCATGTTTACAATCCTAGCCCTGTGGGGGGCTAAGGCAGGAGGATCACACATTGGAGCCCAGATTGGGCAACTTAGCCACTTAACAAGATCTTATCTCAAATTAAAAAGGGTTGGGAACGCAGTTCAGTATGAAGGTCCTGGGTTCGATCCCCAGAAAAAAATTAAAGGACCTTGGCCCTGACTTACCACTGGCCAGGGCTCAAAGAAGCCCTGGGGAGGTCCAAGACCTCATCAGAAAGCAGCTCCAGCTGGTCCCCTTCAAAGCTGGGCTGGAGTCTGGGCGGAAGTCACAGGGTGGGAGTAAAATCAGGTCAGACCGCAGCAGAGTCCACAAAGAGCACCCCAAACGGCCACATCTGAAACCAGAATGTCCCATCCCCTCCCTCCCCCCAGCTGTTCCTTTCCTTTCTGTTGGAAGTTGGGGCTGCCCGCCACTCCACTCGAGTGGCACCCCAAGGCCCAAACCCTTACCACCTCCACTCACCCTCTCTGGTCACCCTCACCCCAAAACAGCCTCTCCCCAACACCACAGAGGCATCCCACTTCCCTCCTTGTCTACCAGTCTCCGGCCAGCATCCCGCTGAGTTTTTCTTTAAATGCTTATTTTGGAATCACTTCAAATTTGAGGAAAAGTTTGAAATAGTACAGCAAACTGCCGTCGGATCTGCCTCAGGTCCCACGACAGAGGACAGCTTTCTCGGCCGGCAGTTTGCCGTTCTTTGACTTTATCTCTGTCTCCCGTACGTATATGCAAATTACAGCTACTCCTCTTGCTGGTCCCAAACCACTCCCAAGAGGCAGGAGTGGGTGCAGCGTCCCTTCCCTAAACGCCTCAGCATTCCGAGTCCCTAAAAACAACAGCGCCCTTACATAACCGAGGCAGCTATCAACTTCATGGAACATAATATTGATTCAATGCCATCCGCTAATCTACAGTCCATAGTCCAATTTCGTCAATTGCCCCCAGGATCTCCTTCACAGCACTTTCTTCCCGGATCCAAGATCTCATCAGGGCCAGTCCACTGCTTTGACCTGTTAAATTTTTTTAGTCTTTCCTCATCTGGAGTAACTCTCACCCTTCATTTGTCTTGCATACCATTGACAATTTCCGAGCCCAGGCCGGTTCTGTAAAACGCCCCTCCTTTTTCATTCTTCAGTGTAAAATTCCAAAACCTTATTACAGGCCCTCTGGGCCAGGTGGAATCCGCCTGCCCCAAACCTAACCACCCTACTCCCCACCCCCGTCCCCGCAGCCTGCTCTAGGCTCCAGCCTCGTCACCCTCACTGCACTTTCCACTCTTCACACACAAAAAGGATCGCTCCAGGCAGCCAGGAGGTCAGGCCCTCTGACCCCGCCCTCGCCCTCGGGCCAGGCCAGACCTGAGGCATTTTCTTGTCTGCAAGACCTGTGTCCCTATTCAGAAGAACTTCCTTCTCACATCTGCATATTCATTGCTCAGCTCCGCTGGCTAGAACGTGGGCTCCGAGAGGGGGAAAGACTTCTGTCTGGGTTACTGCCGCAGCCCTGGGTCCCTGGTCCTGCCTGGCACGCAGGAAGCGCTCAGAAATTATTTGCTAAGTAAATGTAAAAGTGAGGAAAGAAAATCGCTGGGTCTGGGACCTAAAGCACCAGAAGGCGGTGAGAGCCAGGGGCCGTGGAAGGCTTTCCAGATTCCAGAACCTTCCCCAGCCCGCCCTGCTGCCTCTAAGCAGAAAAGGAAGAGCCTGGCAAACCTCCCTTATCTTCACAATCCCATCGCCTCATCAGCCAATGCTGATTAATCTTTCTAAATCAATCCCAGTAGGCTGACAGGCTGGATTCCAGAGATGGAGCCACGGGTCCTGCAGAAGACCCGTGACACCCTATTGTCCACTAGCCGGGTCAAAGGGCAGCCCCCCCCATCCTGACCCTCGCCGGGGTGTGGGGGCAGGGAGAATAAATATCCAAGCACAAACTCTTGCTAATAGCTGAGAGTGCAATGCAGGAGGACTGAATGTGAGGCTTCCAACCCCAGAGCTGAGAACCCAACCTGCCAGGTGCTTGTCACTTACTGTCCCTGGGAACTGACCAGGCTGAGAACGCTTACTGCTCGGATTACATCAATACTCAAGGTTACTGGAAGGGAAAAACCACCCCGACTTTGAATCAAACCCATTCATTCCCGATTTCACCACCTCTACGAAGTGATCAAACCCTTAGCCAGATCCACAGCTCTGAGCATCTCCTCCAGGGCACCCCCATTCACAACAGATTTCCCCCCGAACCCATCCAGCGTTCCTGCCACCCTGAGCTTCCCCTAGAGCAGCCCTTCTGCGCCCAGCCTGCGGGACACACGGCCACCCAGCTGCAGACCTCTGTGGGGATCCAGCCCAGAAGAAACACCTTCTCACCCCTCACTGCCTGGCTCTGTAACCCCGGTGAATCGCTCAGCTTCTCCCAGCTTTTTGTACAAGAAATAAACAAGTAAGATGTAGCTGATAACGCTGGCAAGAGCTAAGAAGCTGACAACCAGAGAGGAATGGGGTGTGAGGAAGAGAAAATTTACAACCTGTACCCCACAAAGGAAACAGGGTGTGGGAAGTTCTGGACTGAGGAGTGTCTCATCTACCACCCCAAGCAGTAAAGGGGCTTGGGGGTGCAGCTCCCCACTCTTACCTAATGGGATTAGCAGCTGGCTGTGGCACAGGGCAGGGGTCCTGCGCTGATCTCCCTCCCTCAGCCGAGGTGAGCATGCGGGGCACCGAGAAGCAGGGTGGCAGCCTACTCTCCTTCCCCCAGGCCCAGCAAGGCTCAGGGCCCAGGGGTGGCCTTCCCGCCATTTCCTCCCCAACCTCTGCCACTGAGCGCGGAAAAATCGGGCAGCTGAGAGCTGGGGAGGCCCCGACCCAGGGCTCTGGCTGCCCCCAACTGGCCTCTCAAGGTCCAAGTCTCTACCTCTCTGTCTGCCAGTAACAGGAGCTATCTGGTGCGGCCAGGTTTCTTTGCGGGGGAGGGGGGTGCCACGGCAGGCACCCGCAGGGGCGCTCCCCGGCGCAGTGGCTCTTGACACTGCACTCCTGGGGACACTTTGGCTCCACCAGGTTCGGGAATGCACGGCAAGCTAAGGCCTAGCCAGCCAGAACCACACTGGGTTCCACTGCAGGACTGCAGGGCCCCTGCCACCGCCCCAGGCCGGAGAGAGTGGCCCAAAGAGCGCAAAGGACTCCGGCAAACGCACGAAGGAACCCTGTGGCCTCCGGGGGCGCGCACCAGCGCAGAGCCCTCACCAGCCTTGGTTCCAAGTTCGGGGGGTAGGGAGTCCGGCGCGGTCATGGGGAGAAAACCCTGGCCCTCGTCGGAACGTGACCCCCAGTTCCCAAGGGACCCCCCCACCCCCGCAGTGAACTCTGTGCGCCCCTCCCCCGCCCGGCGCCTCACAAAGGCCCTTTGTCCCGCTGAGCCCCCGCGACTCCGGTTCCTGAAAAGTTCCTGGAGAAAAATCAAAGACAGAGACAAAATCGCCGAGCGCAGCCGGGTCGACCAGGCGGGCAGGGAGGCGGCAACCGAGGGAGGCGGCAACTCCAGGCCCCGAGGGTGTTTTTCCTCCAAGACCCCAAGGACGGGGGTAGCGTTGGAGGGCACCCGGAGAAATCGCCAAACTCCTAAACTTCAGTTTGAAAGAAAAGGATTTTTCTCCCCTAACAAGGATGGCAGAACCCAAGGGCTGCCAGTAAGATGTGTCCCCGGGGGGGCCACGGGAAGGGCAGCCGGTCCCGCGTCCCCACTCCCGCCGGCCGCGGTGCCCTCCCGTGCGCTCCCGCCAAGCCCGGGCAGCCATCGCGGGAAATGGCGGAGGCCGCCAGGCCTCCTCGGACGCAGTTCCTCAGCCCCGCATTGGGTGTCGCCCCCACACACACACACCCCTGGTGTCCCCTCTGCCGCCAGCCCAGCTTATCCGCTCTCTGGGTGGCCTCTTTCCCCAGGACTGCGGTGCCAGTGGCTCAGTTTCAGCATCCACACGGCGTGCCCTTGCTCCAGACAGAAAACGGGGGTGGAGGGTCCCCGCCACACTCCCACTGGGGGATAAAGGGGTTCCTGAGGGCCGGCCAAAGGCCAGGGTGCCAGAGCTGGGATCGCCACCGTTTTCCCGGCTGTCTTCCCGAGTTCCGGAAACCATTCAGGTCCGGGTGGGCGAGGGTGGTATAACTGGGAACAGAACCCAAAGCCCACGGGCACCGGGCAGAGAATTTGACAACAAAATGATCCGAGCTCCAGGACACAGGGACTGTCTTATTTGTTCTTTTCTCGCCCAGAAATTTGCAAACTCCAGCCCAGACTTATCCGGGGATTGGAATTGGCCCTTGGTGACTCGATTTCGGCACACGGTTAGGCCTTAGGTCTCCACGCATAGGGAACCGCAGCCTAAAGCCTCTCCGTTGGAACCTCGGGACTGGCCTCTGTCCAGGACTCAGGATTAAGCCGCCCTGGAAGCCGAGTCTCACGGCACACGATGGACCCACCGGGGAGAGAGGATCCCAGCCTTCTTCCCGGACCTCCCTCCCCAAGATCCCCGGAAGGCAGGAGAGGCGGACGCGGGGCACTTACCCGGGTGCGGGTGGAGGTTGAGGCCGGCCATGTATTTTCCGGGCGGCAGCGGGCCGGGCAAGCCGGAGGCGGGCAAGCGTCCGGCAGTGGCCGCGTCCACGCGGTGGCTGTCCATGGCCAAGCCGGACAGCAGCGGCGGCGGGGGGCCATGCACGGACCGCTGGGGCCCGAAGTCTCGGCCATCCATCCTCCGAGGGAGTGCCACGGCCAGCCCCCCACCCGGCCCGCGGGCCTCACTCCGTGGGACCTAAAAGTTCAGCCTCGACGTAGTCCCAGAGTCCTCGGGTGGCGGGGGCTCCGTGGCATGCATGGCCGCGGCTTGCACTCGGTGGCGGGCCGCCCGAGGCCCGGGGGGCACGGCCAGCGGGCGGTGGAACCCCTCCGGGCGACCAGGCGGAGCTTCGGGAGGTGGCGCACACAACGTCTTGGCGGGGAGAGAGAAGGGCCACGGCAGAAGGGGGAAAAAAAAAAGGGGGGGGGGGAAGAAGAAAAAAAGAAAACAAGTTTCAGAAAGTAGCCTCGCCCTCGGGTCGGTAGCTGTAGATCTTGTGACCAGGAGTGAAACAGGGAGTAACCCTCTTTCCGCGAAAAGTTAAAATCCACGCTCTTTCCTTCTGGTGGCTTCAGTCTCCCGGGAGTCGGCTTGAACAGCGACTCGCGCGCGCTGCGCCCCAACCCCGACTCTGCCTTGGTGAAACTGGGAAAGGGCCACGGGAGCTGACCGCGCCCGGACAGTGTAAATACAAACCTCGAAGAGTGTTTTATTCCCGGCCGTCACATGCTATGAAGCCTTTCCATGAACGACTCGCAATATCTTCCTAAACACTGTCACTATCTTATCCGGAAAGTTTAATATTTAACCTTTTTGGGGGGCCTCTGCCTCCCTTTTCAGAGTTTGATTTTGGCAGAGCTGGCGCTGGGAACCACCGAAGGAGTGTTTGGTTTGGGGTTTTTTGGTGTTGTTTTGGGAGGGGGGAGGGTACAAAGCCGGTTTATTATTTTTAGAGACTCACAGCCCCCTCCGGCCACCCTTGTCCGGCAACCGGGAGTCGCAGTCTGAGTCCAGGGACCCCAGACGTGGCATTCTCCCCTGCGGACTGGAAAGAATCCTTCAAAAATGGCTTTGGTTTCATTTTCCAACGCCCAGGCTTGGGAATCTTGCGGCCGGAGGACCAGCGGCCTGGCGCAGGAGATTTGGGGGGGCGTCAGAGGGGAAGGAAGGGAATCAAGGATCAAGTCTTATCCTATTCCCCCACCCACCAAAAATAACCTACAAAGAGAACCTCGAAGCGCGGGCAGGACCCAGAGGGCGCCTCCCCAGTGAATGGGTAAATCACTCTGTAGTTCCAGTTTCAAGGTGCTTACTTAAAAGACTGGTCTTTCGCCGATTCCCGCGGGGAAAAGAGCGGGTCGTGGAGCCCACCCTTCCCTCGCTTTCCGTCGGCCCGCCCGCGGCAGCTCAGATTGATTCCCGGAGGTCAGGGAGCTCCTGGAGTCCCCGATCACGCCAAAACCACGGCTCTCGGGTGCTCTCCCCGACTCCGCACACAGTCCCCCCAGCTGGAGACCCCTTCAGCCGCAGACCCCCGCCCCCGCGGCCGCCTCCTCCAGCCTCCTCGTTAACTTTGCTAAAGGCGCCTATTTCACCGTGTTTTGGGTTTCAAACACCCGGTCTCCCTCCCTCCCTCCCTCGCATCAGGCTCTGGTTACCAGATCCGCGTTCACTTTGGAAAAATCTAAGGTCGCCACATCCGAGGATATATGTCTCAAAGAGGCGATGAGTTTCCCGTGATTTCTTTAAATGATGTTGCGGGCAGCTTTCTTTTTAAAAGCCAGCGACTCGGAGCATACCCAGGCACCCCAGTTTAGGGAAATCGGGGTGAAGTCCATCGCAACCCCCTGGCAATGGCAAAGAAGCTGGCGTGGCCATCTGCGGGCTCCACTGCGTTCTCCTTACTTTTCACCCCCTCTTAAATGCAGTTAAAATGGCTGAATTCTGGCTTTTAATTAAAAACAGCCTATAATCGAAAACGTCTCGGCGTCCCCGGCTCTCTCGCCGCCTTCCGGGAACCTAGCACGGAATCGACCTCCCTCGGCAGCGCCGGGCAGAGAAGCCTGGAGAGGGCTGGGGATCCGGGTGGGCGCCCGGGGAACAGTGGCGCGCCCCTACCTCTGGCGGGGCGCCCTCACCCCATGGTCCCTGGCCCCCGAGTGGATTCTAAATAGCCGGGCTGCTTCAGGGACCGCCTGCGCACCCTAAAGGGCAGGCGAGGTGGGGTGGTGGGGGGCGAGCTGCAGAAGTTTGGAGACCCTCGCGCCCAGCAGGGCCGACAGGCGGACCGGCGGCGTACCTGGCGCGGCAGGGCTCTCGGCTCCGGGCTCCGGCGACAGCGACTCCGGCGGCGGCCCCGGCTCCCGGCGCGGCTAGGCGCCCGTGCTGCCCGCCATCCCGCGGCCGCCGCTCCCCTCCGCCACCCGCAGCCGCTTCACACTTTTTGCCCGCCTTTCCTTTTTTTGGTAGAAAACCGCTCCCTGGGCCGAGCGCTCGGCGCGCCAACTCCTCCGCCCTCCCGCAGCCCGGCTCCCGCAGCCCCCGGAAAAGCCAGCTTTCCTCCCGCCGAGCTCCCCGCTTTTTAATAAAATCCAGGTAGCGCCGGTTTAAAGAATCCCAAATCTCCATATACAGCCCGGGATTGGAAAAGGTACATTACACAACCCCCCTTTCAAGTTCCTCTCGCTGGATCTAAAAAAAAAAAAAAAAAAAAAAAGCCAGCGGAGGGGGGCAAGAAGGGGGCTGGGGGAGGGGAGCACTCACAAGCTAAGAAACACGCATTGTTCCCGGGCGCCCGCCCCCCCAGGGCCGGCCCTCGGCCGCTGCGCATTGGCCGCGCGCGCCGCCCATCACGCGCATGTAAACACCTTGGCCCTCAGCCATTCCTATAAAACCAATTACGGACCTCGGGGCTCCAGCAGTTTCCAGGCTCCCCTCGGCGGGGCTGAATGATCAAAACTGGTGGTGAGAATTTTTCCGGACCGTTTCTAGGCAGCCCTCCCCCTCCACCAGCTCGGGAGGCCCCCCTTCCTCCTTCTCCTCCCTTTTCCTCCCCCCTCCTCCTCCAGCGTCTGGGCTGAGTGATCAAAATAGAGGAAGATGGTTGTCGCCGCAATCCAGGGCTTTGCAAGGCGCGGTTTAATGGGCCGCCTGTCAGCTTCCTGCTCGCTGGAGGAGGTGACAAGCCGAGCGAGCCGGGAAGGGCCTGGGGCCTGACGGGCTGCACCCTGCACCCGCGCCCCTGCCCGCCACCTCCCCTGGGGTGCGCCTCCAGAGCGCGCGGGGGAGACGCCAAAACAGACAAGGGCTGCTTTTTTCTTTTTCATTTTTTCTTCCTTTTAAAACAAAGCGGCGATTCATTCCCTCTCCCCCAGCAGCGTCTTCGGGTGGGATGGGGCAGGCGAGAAGGCCGTTTTCCTTTCCCCGGCCTCGAGTCCCTCCCTGAAACGCGGCGTCAGATGGTTACTGATTAATATTTTGGAGAGGCCTTGGCGGCGGGCAGCGGGTGAGTCTAATCTTCTAAAAGGGGTTCCTATAGAAACGCGGGCCCAGGGCGCCCCCACCTCCGCCCCGGCCGGGGGTGCGGCGCTTCGCACAGTGCGCCCCTCCCCAAAGCCCTCTTGGCGTGGGCGCCCCCTCTCCTTCCCCCTCCCCCCAAAAAAATCAGAGCAGAAAAAAGGATTAGATCGGCTGAGCGCGAGCTGAATCCCTCTCGATTCTGACATTTCAGCCTATTAGCATTTCTCCACGGGGCCTTCTGAAACCTATTAAAGTGTAATATTAAAAACCTCGTGGCTGGGGACCTCTCTCGCCTTCTATCCACCGCGCCCCCTCCAGGGAGGGCGAGACGGGGAAAAAAAATTGTTGAGCTCAGAGGAAGCAGCAGCCAAACCCAAAAGTGCTTGGCTGGCCATGGCGGCCGGGGGGCGGGGGGAGCCACAATCCCCAGACTTTGTACTTTTATTTTGCGCTTTCAGCAAAATCCGTTCTGGGTTGAGTCGCCGGGAGCTGCCCGCGGCAGACCTACCTGTCTAGGGGCGCTGGAAACGCGAACTCCGCTGGAGAGAGAGTCGTAGGAACCCCGCACCCGCCTCCCCGCAACCCCACAGGCTCCCAAGCCCAGCTGGGCATTACCTACCCTCAAAGGAAAGCTTTGGAGGGGCAGAAATCCTTGCCGATCCTGCCTCTGAGAGCAACTGTGGTGACAGGTTTTTAATTAAGAGAAGCCTGCACTTTCGCCCTGTGCTGCGGAATCAGCGTTTTCGCATTTCTATTTTTTTAAAACCCATCTTTAAGGCAACTTTTCTAGAGGGAGAAAAAATGAGCTAGTTAGCGCCCCATTCGTTCTATTTTCTTTTCTCCACTTTTAGAAAAAAAAGAGGGGGGAGGGTTCGAAAGCGAACTGGGGGTGTCTAATTTAATTCCAGGATAAATTTGAGGAAAAAAGTTCGGCCTCTTGAGGGCAGTTTCAAGTTGCCCTTCCTGGAGCCTCCTGCGTTGGTTTCTAGGCTGCCCTCCTTGGGAAGCTGGAGCTCCGCGGGGGGAGGAGAGAGGAGGGAGAAGGAGAAAGGAACGAAAATAGCCGGAGCCGAGGGGAACGAGAGCGGTGACTGCGCCCGGAGCTCGGCTCGCACGTCTCAGTGGCGGCCCGGGCGGCGGGAGGCACCCGGTGCAGTCCCCGGGACGACCAGGAGCAAAGACGGAGAGGAGAGGGGGGTTAGAGAAAGGAGGTATTGTGTCTGTGTGCCTTAAGGGAGGGGAAGGCTGCAGAAGTAAAGTGCAGTGTGGGGCTGCGCGGGGCTGCTAAAGCCGACTCCGGCTAAGGGGTTGGGGCGCCATGCGCCCTACAATCTTATCCAGAGGCCTTTGTGGATTCCCAGGAAACCCTTCCGCGCCCGAGTCGCTAACGCTTCCTCCACCCCCATCGCCCTCCAGTACTCAACTCAGACCTTGATCTCTCATTCTCACTCCCTTATCCCGCCTGGGATCTGGAATTTTTTTTAATATAGCTTAAGAAAAAATATGTATTGTGAGTGAGAGAGTCGGGTGGGGATATAATACAAAAGGCTTGCGGGGTGGAAAAAAACAAAGGCCTATTTTTATAAATGTTTAATGTTTTCACCCCTGGATGCTCCAAGACACCATAATTGTGACGGCGGGGTATGTGTGCCATAAATCATTTAGTTGCTAATAAAAATTCTGCCTGTTTGCCCTGGATTTGCCAATGGCGTTTGCATTTTTCAAGTGTGCGCCTCGTCGCGTGGCAAACCAAGCCGGCATTTCATTAGGGCCGCGGTTGGGGAGGATGAGGCCCCCTCCCCGCCGGAATGTGTGCGCCCCAGCCCCCTCGCGCCCGCACCCGCGATCTGCCACGCGGCCCCCCAGCTACCACCAGGCGTAGAGCCTGGAGACGGGGCGACTCCAGGGCCCCTGCCGCGGGACCAGGCACAGGGGACAGAGCGTGCTCGCCCTGCTCCTTCCGGGGCTGCGGCGTGCGTGGGGCGCAGGAGAGCCCCTCCGCGGAGCTGCGTTCTATGTGCGCTGGTCTTTGCCCCTCCCAGGCCGCACACCCCGCTGCCCCGCAGTGGCCGCGTAAACATTCCGGGAGCCATCTTGGGGCGTGGAACGGATCCCAAGAGGTGTAGAGACTGCAGCTACAGTTCCTTGGAAAACCCCTGCCATCATAGGGGAGCTTCTGGGACACCCCTAGCCAGGCCTCAGGGTCCAGGAGAACACGGTCTGCGCCCTAGCCGGCCACAGTGCGCGCCTTTCGCGGAATGGGTGGCCACCGCACGGGTCCAGCCGCCATCTTCCGCGCCCCACACCCTCCACCCCCTCATGCTTGTTTACCGGGCCAGTCCAAAACCGTGTTGACCAGTGGGTGTGTGGATGTGTTTTGTACTGACTGGGCGGAAAATCAGCCGGGGGTGGGGACCTCCACGCAGTCTCAAGCTGCAATTCCCGGAGAACCCACCCCGGCCGGCCTGCCCGGCCCGGCGCGCCTATCCGCGGCCAGCCCGATTAGCTTTAGCTGGGGTCTTTGTGTGCGTGCCCAGGCGTCCGCTCTCAAGATGCAATCTGGCGGCCAAAATTCTCCCCCTTTATTATAAAGCCAAAGGACAGGCCAACCTTGAGCCCGCTGTGTCCCCTGCCGCGCCTTTGTCACTGTGTCCCCTGCCGGGCCTTTGTCGGCACTGCACGCGGTGAGTGTGGGCAGGTCCGATTCCCGGACCCCGAGCTTGTCTCAGTTCTGCCCAATGCAAGGTTGAACCCGGTTCTTCCAGAACCCTGGTGTTGCTGGCCGCGTGGTACATCCTCCCCGTTTCCTCACCCGGGGAAGCGGGGAACAGCACAATTCTTTCCACGGCTCGGACCTCCAAGTCCCCTCATCGGTTGCCTGGAACCGCCTTTCCCCAGGGCTCGGGAAGGACGGGAACCCCCAAACTACACCAGCAACTACGGTAGTAAGGGGGATGCCAAGCAAGCATGACCAGCTCCGGAGGCCTTGGCCAGTTCTTCTAGGCTCGAGTTTCCGCTGGTCCTAGGTCGGGCAACCTGGGAGCTCCCGGCCGGGCGCCGCTAAAACCCGGAGAGGCCGCACCCAGGGCAGCTACCCTCACTGCAACTGGACCAGCCAGGCTGTAGTTCTGCCAGCCCAGCAGAGAGCCACGCAGACTCGCCAGGAAGGTTGGGGACGCGGCGCGGCGCCAGCTCTCCGCAGCCACCAGGGCTCTGGTGCACAGCGAGCAGAGCCCGGGCCGTAGCGCCAGGCCGGGCCACGGAGGATCCCGAGTCCTCTCGCCCCGCCTCCGACCCTGGCCTCTTCCTCCGGCCCGGGTTGGGTCTTCCACTCCACTGTTTGGCTCGGAGAGGACGAGAGAGGTGCTCAGTGCGCAGGGGACCGACGCGGCCATAAATCTCCGTGCCAGCCCTCCTTCAGCTGCTCACTGGCGAGTGTTCCAGCCTGGCCTTGCATCCCCAGCCCACCGGGGCACCCTGCTCTCCCGGTCACTGTGCAGGGAATCAAGCCAGGAAGTCCCTGTGCACCAAAGAGAGGGAATCGCCTTGCCCAGTCGGTACCATCACCAGCCTTCCCCACGAGTGCCAGACCCAGAGGCGGCCGCGGGCTCACCGATCACCGCCTTGGGTAGGGGTACGCGTGGGCTGGTGACTTCCTCCCAGGAAGGCCTGCTGAGGCTTGGATGGGTGTGCAGCGGCTATGGCACCACCGAGGGGCGATTGAAGGTTGGGAACAGTGGCTTCTCCGCGGGCTCCTCAGCGGGTCACCTTCATGGACCCAACGTTAGTCCCGAGCCCTTGGAGCCCTCTGGGCTCGCGCTTGCCACGGGATCTTGGCTTGGGGACCCTTGTTTGTCCTTTTTTTTTTTTTTTTTTTTTTTGACCTTTGTAGTCCCATCCCCTTGGCGCAGATAAGCGAACCACTGGGAAAACGAGAATCAGTCGTGGGCAGGTTGGGGCCGTGGTCTTTCTACCCTAACGATCGGAAGGAGGTTGTTGGGAGGCTTTTCAGTAATAACGACTAATGTTATGGGCATTGTCTGTCCTTTTTGCCAGAGGGGCGCGCAAATCTCTCTGCTGGTCCTTACATCAGCCGAGCAAGTGGAACGCTCAATGGGGACCAACCACGACAAAAGGGGCCTTGGGATACTGTTTGGAGACAGTTGCGGAGGAGGGGTGACATTCACCCCTTCTTAGTTGCCTCCCAAAACCTCACACGGTGCCAGTGACACAACCCCGAACGGTGGATGACAGAGGAGGCCGGGTGCAGGGCCTTTTGAAAAGCAGGCTCCGAGTCAGCTCTCACCGAAGGAACTCCATCCAGCTCCCTCCTCAAATTTCTAAAAGCACAGTTGGAGGCGCGGAGGGCATCCGGCGGCCGGGCGCGCAGGAATTTGCACGCTGGCCCCAGCGACGCTTCGGGAGCTCAGAGGCTGCCCAGCCACATTCCGGCGAGCCGCCCCAGCGAGGCCCCAGCCCAGGAAGCGGCTCAGAAAACAAAGCACTGCGGTCTCAGCCCAAGGTTAAAGTCCACCGCGAGCGCCTTCCCCCCACCCCCAATCTGAGAGCGATAGCGTTTCTCCAAATAAACCGCCAATAAATCAGCTCCCCGGCCGAGCCAGCTGAAGAGCTCTGGTGACCTTGGGGAATACTTCCTGCCTGCCAGACCCATCCGAGGACAGACGTGGGGGAGGGGGCCAATGTCAGCCCGATCCCTCCACCCCCTGCGAGAGGCGGAAGAGGGGTGGGCCAAGGGCATTTGTGGGTGTTTATTATGCTATGCGCGCCCAGAGAGGATGGGGGAGTTTTGGAGCGAGTGGTACTGCGGTTGTTCGGGGACCTCAGTGCCCGGTTGTGAGGGGGTTTGTGATACTGGAGGCTGCTCTGGAAAGGCTGGCCACTCAAGGCCTGCAGAACCACACTGTGCTAGCCCTTGGGACCAAGCCCTGAACACCCAGGGCCTCTTTAGGGGCCCAGGGTCTTTGTCTGGGTGTGACAGGGTGTGTTCTGCTGCGAGCTTGTGTGGGGTGTGACTAATGGTATTTATGGATGTCAGTGCGGGGGTGACTAATGGAGGCTTGGCAGCACGTGCTTTGGGGGAGGGGCACTGCACCCAAGTGGGGAGCGGGCGTCCCAGGAGGAGGCTGCTGGGTCTGAGAAGCCCCGTCCCCTCCCCCACTGGCTCCCAGCTTTGTCTGGGGCCCTGCACATCCCTGGCAGGCCAGTGCACAGGGCCTTCAGAGTGCATCCCTCCGCCAGCCCTCCCCAGAGGCGCCCTCAGGCCTCCCACCTCTCAGACCCACATGGTTGGTGCCTCCGGATCCTGGCCTTCCCTTCCTCCTTACAGCTTGAAAACTCCCTATGCACACATTGCACATTGCCGACGAGTCCCGGCAGGCTCAGACAGCCCTGGGATGTAGGTACCATTCTACACATTCAGTGGCTGAGACGCCTTCAGGGCAGGAAGGAAAAGTGACAGACTCACAGGGCTAAGAAGCGGGCAGCTTGGCCAGGCAGAGTGCTGGGGAGACGTGGAGCCCCTGCACAAGGCCTTGTCTTGTTGATGTTGCGGTTTTTTGTTTTGTTTTTTATTTTCACAGTGCTAGGAATGGAACCAAGGGCCTCATACATACTAAGCATGCACACTGCCACTGAGCTGCAGCCCTTAAAAGTAAATGAGGGGCTGGGGATTTAGCTCAGCGCCAAAGTGCGTGCCTGGCAAGCGCAGGGTCCTGAGTTCGATTCCTGATACTGAAAGAAAAAACAAAAAAAAATAAATGATGCCAGCCAGGCGTGGTGGTGCATGTCTGTAACCCCAGCACTCAGGAGGATTGTTGAGAGTTCGAGACCAGCCTGGGCTGGCCAGTTCAGCCAGCCTGAACTGCATAGCCAGACCCTGTCTCAAAAAGACAAAAAAAAAAAAAAAAAGTAAATGATGCCAGGTGTGATGGTACACTTACTGTAATCCCAGCAGATGGGAGGCTGAGGCAGGAGGATTGCAAGTTTGAACCCAGCCTAGGCAGTTTAGCAAGGCCCTATCTCAGAATAAAAAATGGGTGGGGGATGTAGCTCAGTCCGAAGATCCTGGGGGTCAATCCCCAATGCCACCAAATAAAAAGGTAAATAACCCACCCACACTAACACAATTCACCACCCCGGTTTTATTCCTTCAGCCAATCTTCCCTGTGGTCTTCTGGGGACTCTCCTGCCTGTAACCTAGGGGGAGGTCAAAGGTCAGTGGTTTGGCCTAGGGCAGTAGGGGTGGGTTGAGGTCAAGCTAACAGAGGGCTGCATTCCAAGGGAGTTCAGGAGGGCAGTGGCCACAGGGCAGGAGCTATAGCCTGTCCTGGCCGGCACAGCCAGGACCCAGGACACACCTAGAAGATCAAATTTCCCATTTCCCTCTGGCTCTCTGATTTCTCACGCCCACACCCAGTCTAGGGGTGTTCCTGGAGCTCCATTCTCTGATGCAGGCACACACAGGTGTGTGGCGCATGTGACTCATCAAAAGGGTCCCTGAGCTGGGGACAGTAGCCAGCACACTGTAATCCCAGCACTCTGGGAGGCTGAGGCAGGAGGAGGATCACAGGTTCTAGTCTAGCCTGGGCAACTTAAGAGTCCATCTCAAAATAAAAAAGGGGCTGGGGAGTTAGCTCAGTGCAAAGACTTGGGTTCCATCCCCAGTATGACAAAGGGAGTGGTCCCCTGAGACCTAAGGAGGTGACCTGCGGGGGGCAGAACCTAACCCTGTCCAGGGCTCCTCCTGGGCAGCCAAGCTCCCGGATCTTCCCCTCCCCCCCCCTCACATTATATCACTTCACCTCCCTCTCCCTTCTTTCCCCCCTCTTGCTTTTTATCTCCTTTGGCATTTTCTTTCAAGCAGAAAAGAAAAACATTTCCCATGGCTGCAGCTTTGAAATCTTCCCTCTCCTATCTGCCTCCGGCCCGTGCCCACCCCCAAGTCAATCTATAGTCAGCACAAAGTCAAAAACAAACCCACAAAGATCAAACCTGACGAGGGCCCCCCTCCAAGCCTCCCTGCACTTTATCTTCAAGTCTTGCTCCATCTTTACCCGGAGAGGAGCGCGGGAGGCAGGAGACGCCCCCACACACTGCGCCTGCGCGCGTGTACCCCACACCCAGCCTCGGTGGCTGCGGGGAAGTAGGGGAATCTTCCAGAGCTGCTCCTCCAGAAAGACCTGCTTCCTGTGTTCCTCTCTGGAAAGGTCTGGGTTCCCCCCAGAAGCCCCAACCTGCCCTGCTCTGGCGCAGCTCGCTTCTCTGGGAAGCCACCTGTTATGGCTCAGTGTCCCCGCTGAATATGTATGTTCCCACCCTAAACCCCGATTCCTCAAAATGTGACCTTATTTGGAAGTAGGGTCATTGCAATGTAATTCCTTAAGATGAACAGGGTGCAGGGTGGCCCCCAATTCCAGTATGATTAGTGTACTTATAAAAGGGAGGACTGGGGGTGCAGCTCGGTGGTACAGCCCTTGGCTAGCACGAGTGAGGCCCTGGGTTCAACCTCCAGTACTAAAAGAAAAAAAAAAAAAGCCGGGTTTGGTTGCGCAGACCTGCGATCTCAGCATGCTGGAGGCTGAGGCAGGAGGATCACAAGTCTGAGCCCATGCTAGGCAATTTATCGACTTAGGGAGGCTCTGTCTCCAATTTAAAAAGGGCTGGGGCTGCAGCTCAGTGCAAAGGCCCTGGGTTCAACTCCCAGTACCACAGAAATAAATAAATAGATAAATAAATACATCGAAAAGGGGTAAATTGCGGATGGGCAGATCCAAGGGGAGACCATGTGAAGACAGAAGCTAAAACTCTATAGCCATTAAACACTACCTTCCCATCCCTGTTCCCCACACCCGTTCTCTCACCACCTTCTTTTCCACCTCTAGGAATGTGAGAAGTCTGGAGACCTCACAGAGGTAGAATCCTTTGCTATCTGCCTTTCATGCCTGGCTTCTTTCATGCAGCAGCAATGCATCCTCGAGGTCCACATTGGAGGAGATATCAATGCCCTTCCTTTACAGAGCTGTGTAATATTCCCTTGCCTAGATATGCTACATTTTGTCTATCCATTCCCCTGTCCAAGGACACTCAGTGTCTCCCTCCATTTTCTATAGCTATATCTGAGTACCACAGACTGGGCGGTTTACAGAGAGTACAGCTCTATGTAGCTCAGAGTTCTGGAGACTGGGGCATCATAGAGCTTGGTGGCGGCACTCTCAGGCCCAGGCCTTGCTGCTGAGTCACAGAGGGGTTGGAGGGCAGTGCACAGCAGCCCAAGCTGCCAAGCAGAGCTTGCTGTGGTAACAAGCCACTCCCTCCGTAACCCAGGAGCCCATCAATCTGTTCCTCTGCGGCAGGACCCAGTCACCCCGCAAAGGCCCAGCCTCCACACCCCACTCATGTATTTGGGAGTTGAGTTTCCAGCACCTGAAATTTGGGGGACGCATGTAAACCGCTCAGCTGAATCACTTGCCCCTGGTAGCACATGTTGGGTCTGTACTGGGGGAAGCTGAGGATCCTGGGCAGTGCAGTATAATGGTTTGAGGGACAGCCATCCTGTCTCCCACGGCAGCTGCACTGTAGCACCTGCAGCGCACACTCATGTGTTCCCATTTCTCTGCATCTTTTTTTTTTCGGTACTGGGAATCAGACCCAGGACCTTGTGCTTGTACCAGGGAGTGCTTATACCACTGAGCTATATCTGTAGCCTTTTCCGCATCTTTAACACACTTGTCATTTTCTGGTTTTGTTTTATTGTGTCTGTTTTATTGTTTTCTTATTGTGTGTTTGTTTTGTTGTGGTGGTAGATATTGAACGCAGGGTTTCTCACTGAGTTTCCCATCCTTTTTTTATTTTTTATTTTTATTATTTTTTATTTTGAGACAGGGTCTCATAAAGTTTATCATGCTGGGCTGGAATTTGCAACCCTCCTGCCTCAGCTTCCCGGAGTGCTGGGATTACAGGCATGTGTCCTGACACCTGGCCCATTTTCTGGGTCTTTTTTTTTTTTTATAGGAACCCTGTTTGATTTGTATTTCCCTAATGGTCAGTGGTGTGGAGCACCTTTTCATATGCTGATTGTACATTTGCATATCTTCTTAGAGAATTGTGTATACAAATTCCTCAACCCCTCCCCTGCTTTGTTTTTTCAGTGCTGGGGATCAAATTCAGAACCTTGAGCATGCCAGGCAAGTGCTGTGCCACCGAAGTGCACTCCTAGACCTTGGCACTATTTTTACCACACTGCTGAGCAAAGTGGAACACCTGCATGGACCACCTGCTGGTGTCCAGGTGGCTTCTGCTCAGCCCACCCCATTCCGTTCCCTTCCAACACGCTGAGGGTGACACTCTCATTTCCAAAGCAAGGTCGGAGGTGGGAACAGCCAGCGTCAGCCTTGTTTGCTGGGATGCTTGCGTTGACACCCCGACCGACAGGAAGAGAGAGGTTCGACTGTCAGGCCACCAGGGTCGGGGGTCCTGGGTCCCAGCCAACAGCTAGGAAGGGCAGAGCCTGCAAAGCCCCTGGGGTGCGGGTGAAGCTTGAACTCCGTGACTTCCTGGGTCACACGGAGGGGCAGCCCTGGGCCCAGGACTCAGCTCTGTGTGTCCCCT